GACATCGGATGTCTCTTATTTTTGCCGCACGTGCGTCACGCGTACCAATTTGAAGAAGTCAAACCTTAAACACTACAATTCATAGGAGTCATTGACAGAAGTAAGGTCTTCCCAGACCTCACCTGTTGATACTGCAGTGTTGCCGCATTCGTCAATTTTTTCACCACCATTTTAGTAGGCCTTTCCACAGTCACTGACGCTTTTGTCCGCCCCTACCAGCTACCGTGCATCTTCATCCTCCGCCTCCTCATTCTCCACCACTTCACCGAGCAGACTATCGTTAGCACATAATGAGAAACCCAATCCGTCAAGTGGCAGACCAGCGAGCAGTCGTGCCGACTTAGCCAGCTCTACAGAGGTGGAATGGCGAGTCAAGTACGAGCTGATCGATGAGGTAGAGAATCGCCTTAGCCAAGTCGAGCAGTCTGTAGCAGATGCTAAAGAAGCAAACCATCAACACAAATAACCTTCAAGTCAAGCAAGTGAAGCCTCCTCCTCCTCCTCCTCCTCCACAGCGTTAGATGGACTGTGTGAGCACTTCTAAGGTCCACACCCTCATCCTGGAATGTGATTCCCATCTTTAAACCACGCTGTAGAAGGTCACTCAAACTTCAATTGCTGTGCCTCGACATCCAACGTACCACTAGCCACCTTCACTCTTCACTACCATTGCTTACACACGCCACGCCACACCACCTGGCACCACAGCGTTGGGGTGGATTATGTGTGTATGAAAGGTTTCTCTCAGAACAAAAGTGTTGCGGCATGTGGAACATCACTGTATCGAAAATGGAGAATTATTTATTGATTTCCGGAAGCGCCGTTCTAAAGCAGCGGAAACGGTATCACCGTGAAACGTCCAGGAAAGTTTCTTGTCGGATTTGCCCTGCTGACTTCGTGCATGGTGTCAGAAATGACACGGCAATTCGCCTTACACACGGGACAGTGTCTGATGCCGTTCTCCCAGCAACACCTCGTTTTTAGACCAGAGTTCCGCCGTCTAGTGCTGGGGGCAATTGATGGTTAGGAGATGTATGCAGCTGCGCGTCTGGCTGTCGGACTGAGCGTCCAATTGGAGCTGCCGAGGAGACGAAGTACCGTTCCTCAGTCTCATGGTAGCTGTTGATTGGCACGGCCGGCTTGTGGGTGCTTTCTTGCAGTACCGAATATGTTGTGATGGCTGATGCGGGAGGTGCACCGAGAGGAGCGTCGAGGCATGGCTCAAAGAAGAGAGCGTCAGTGTAGTGCCTTGTTTATGCGGCCACCTGATGTCTGGCGGTCACTTTAAGATCCGTCTGACCCTTGTGCGCGTGGGCTGGCCTTCATCGGAATACGTGCATTCAGCCCTACCTTATGTCTTCTTCAATCCGGTGGCAGTCTCGGGACACCACAGTCATCTCCACAAACATTGCGCTTTGTGCAAATAGCTTATTGTTCGCAGTTACATTGCCTTAACAAAGATTTTTGCGACTGGAGTTTGGTCATTTGTCCTAGCTAAAGGAAAGTGCTGCCTCTGTCAACCAACGTTAAGTGAACGCGATACCTACATACGCCGTGTAGAAAGCCTCCTCTTGCAAGCGAGCAGTACAGTTTGTTGCTTGAAACGTCGGTTTTAGGATCGTCATCTTATGAACGCGTTTGATTTTGTTTGCTGCCGAATTGCCAATGAGTCCTCCCATAACATTGCCTCGTAGAAACAACAAGCGTGCACAGTCATTGCGAGTTTAACGAATATCTGCTTTGAGGGAGGATATGCGCTGCAGGTAAAAGCGGTCCTCCTTGACAAAGGTGTGCAGGATTGCACTACTTTGCAACTGCGGTTGCTTATAGCGGTGGCAAGTGAACATGAACCTAAACGTGCATTGATGAGCTTTCGTCTGCGGAGCTGAGGTGTCGGATGCTGCATGCAAGTGTATTGCATTGTCATTTGATCGCCTTTCATGTGTAGAGGAACGCCTTGTTATTTGTCATGTTATTGTGTGGATGGGCTGGCCAGTGGGCGGAGTCGAAGTCCAACCTTTCCTGACTTCCCCTTTGCTTGCATGGACTCGGCCCTAC